CGATCTGCAAAGATGTCAAACATCTCAAGACACTCATCAACTTCTTGTCTCTGTTCACAAATATGAATCCGAACAGACGGGCTGTCCATCTACACGTTGAATTCAAATCTGATGCATGGGTGACTGCCTTCAACCTGACGATCCAGTTGGCTAAGCTTTGCAAGTTCTTTGGAGAGTGTTACTCAAAGGCGAGCCCAGAGGAGTTTGTTGTAGCGGTTCGGACGTTGGTACCAAGCCTGATGGATCCTGAGCAAGACTTCCACGACGTCCAGTTTGGTTCATGTGAGGCGGTCGATGACTCCTCCATCGATTCTGGGGTCTTCTATCGTTGTATCGACTTCAGGACCGATCGAGAGTTGATCAGCTTCCATGGCCGATGAGAGTGTACACTCTCAGCAGCCGAGAGTGTTTCTCTCGGCCGCTGAGGGTGTGCCATCAGCGGCCGGGAGGAATCCTCCCGGCCGTTGCGGGGTCTTTTTGGTAAGCGACACCCAAAACCCAGTGGGTTTTGGGACGTCGACCCCCAACTCCTTTGGGGGTTGGCCTTTTTTTTATTAAAATTAATAGTTTTTCGACTCCCATTCCTCGGGGATTTCGGTGGAAATTCTGGGGGTTTCGGGGTTTGGGAGTCGATCCTCCACTTTTTGGGAGTCGATTAGCTAAGACCCTATAAATATTGAGCATCCAACATTTCAAATTGATTTTGAAGGCTCCATACTTGAATTGCTTAGGGTCCGTTTGGCAGTCCTTGATATCACAAAATATCATAGGAAAATCCTGCAAATCTTTTTGGGGGACCACATTTATTATCATACGTGAAAATTTTGTTTGACTGGTTGTACTATAACGCCAAAAATCCACTGTAATAAGCAGGGGATTGTCTAGGCCCCGTTTGGCCGCAAATCATTATTTGTGATTTGGCTAAGTTTGGCTGGGATTTGGCCAGTGCGATATGAAACGATATAAGGTTTTTGCACAAACTCCTGCCAAACCTCAACTCAAAATTACAAATCATGGACGGCCAAACGGGGCCCTAGCTTTTATCCGGATTTACATCTTTTTACTTATGATATAACAGACTGCCAAACAGAGCCTTGGTGTTTTATATCACAATATTTGTGATAAAATTCATCTCATCAATTTCATGGAATTCAGGATCTGCTAGTAGAGCAAGTTTGGGTATAGAAGTTTGAAGCATCAAAGTTGCCTTGTTGTTAATTATCTGAGGAACTCCTGTGGTTCTGGAGCTAGATTTTTTTTTCATCACTGATTAAGCTTTGATAGCGTCACATGGCAATTATCTTGACTGGGTGATGCTATACAAGTTGATTATAAACCAGAAGTCTAAAAAAACACTGGATTGACTTCTGGTCAAAGGTATCCAAAAACAAAGATCAGATGCATTTGACTGATCTCTTCCATTTTTTTATCTCTTTGGTGTGGTTCTACAAAAGTGAAAATGTTTTTTTGGGGGAGCGACTTGATTTAAAAAGTGAACTATTACTCTCTTTCATTAATACCGAAATTGAATCTTATAGACTGGTTTACAAGAATGTGCAACTTGTAAAAGAAATCGAAACTTTGATCTTTCTCGAATATTGATGAAGCAACAAAAAATCGTTCAAGCTGATATTCGAGTGCAAAGTGATGTTGGTGGCCATGAGCTTGGTATAATATTGGTCTGCGGATGGAGGGAGCCCAGGGTGGGATGAGGATGAGAGAGTGGATGATGTGCTGGTTTGTTCTTCTGGGTGAAGAGTGAGTAGGACGCGACGCGTTTCGAGTGGTGACTTGAGTGGGGGTGGAGTGGCAGGGGGAGAAGCAACTACTAAGGAGAAACCAACCAAAACAACAACATGCCACCCAAGAAGAAAACCAAGAACAACAGCAACATCACAAAGAACAACAACAACAACCCAACAGAAGACCAAGAAGAACAACAGCTGAACCATGAGAAAGCATTAACAGAACAACAACCACAAACAGCAATATCAAGAACCAAGACGACAGACCTCACCCAGAAAGTGGCCAGATTACTCTCCCAAGAACCGGCATCCTCCCATCCTCTCACAACCAACAAGACCTCGAATAATGGATTCATCTTGTCGAATACTCTCAACCCGACGATCCCTCTGCTCAATCACGCAGATCTCAACCATCAATTAAACTCATTAATCGACCAGAAACTCGAGATCTTCAATGAGAAAATCAAGCTTTATCAGAACCAAATCTCCCAGGTTAATGCTCATCTCTCTTCTATCAAACTTAATCTAATTCTTAGCTTTTGTTAATCGATTTTTTTTTTGGTTTATAGCTTCGTAGAGAGCTCGAGACGAAAGATCAGTTGTTGGATGAGTTGCAGAAGATTCGCCAAACCGATGCTGAACATTTGCTGGAGAAACACAAGCAAATAGCGGAATCGAAATATGCAGGTAACCCAGGACCTTTGTTTTTAATAAAAAGAGATCATATAATGGAAGGGTGTTTTTGTTTTTTATATTGATGTAGGTTATGAGAAGTTAACGAAAGCGCAAGACGAGACGATCAAGAGTCTCCGACAAAAAGTGATCGATGTGAACGGGAAGCTGAGTCGAGTGTATAGTGGCGAAGAAGAGCGCGACAGACAAAGACTAGAGGAAGAAAAAGAGGCCTTGGTCCAGACCAATCAACAACTGAAAGCCGCCCATGATGCGCAGAGAAAGCGGCGGAAGGAGGCCGAACGGGCCGCCCAACAGGCGAGTCTGTTGGCCGAAGAAAACGTGCAGGAACAGCTCAAGGAAGCTAATGATGAAGGTCAGCTTTCTCTCTCTCTCTCTCTTTCTCTCACTTGCAGTTGTTGACCACTCTCTCACTAAACGATTCATGTCTTTTATGGTCTTGAACCTCACAGTCAAAACCCTGAAGAAAATGTTAAACGCGGAAACAGAGAACTCGAAAGCCCTGATCGTCCAACTCAACCAACTCCGAAACAACAACAACAACCACAACCACAACAACCACTCAACATCTGCCCATCCCAACCAACAACGCACCAACCATCCGAATCATTCGTCGAGTAATAATCATCAACAACAGTTGCTGAATAATGAGAAGACGATCGAGGATCTCAAACGCAGATTGTCGATCATGGGCGACTTCACCGGGCTCGAAATCTTGAGCTCTCAGCCTGATCATAAAGGCCCGATCTTCGAATGTATCGTTGCTGATATACTCAATCGAGGCTTCGGTGCGTGTTCCTTCTAACACAATCAAATCAAATCAGTATCTCCGTTCAATCTTCATTTTAATCATCGTCTATTTTTTTTTTTTTTTTGGATTGTGTGTGTGTGTGTGGGAAACAAAAAAAACAATAGCGTTACATTTCAAGCTACAAGTCCATCCAGATGAGACCTGTTCATTCAGTCCATCCTTAGACCCTGAACGGGACTCGGCAACGATCAAAGTGGTCCCCGACTTCCTGCGCCAATTCATCCGATTCGAGTCCAAGGCTCGTTCGCACATCTATTGGAAACTCTTCCAAGCTTTCAATCTCCAAGATACTTAATCTCATCTCCTCCCCCTCATCATCTTTTTTTTTTCTATTGGATTGTATTACTCATTCTTATAAACATATTCTCTTCAACAAACTTAAAATCATGGATCTTCTTGTTTATGCTTATACAATATTTAGTCACCCTCATCCCTTCCTTAACCTTTTTCGTGTCCTAGCCAGACAAGCTTTCTACGCGTATGCTTGATTTTTTGCTATCTTTTTTTTTCTTCCCATGCATGTTCTGTCCGAAGGACAGCCCAACCTGGAACTTTTTACATACTCGAACTGTTGTCTGGAATCAATCTGCCAAATATGCAAATCAAACACACCGGGCCCAAGGTTTCCTTTTCTTGGGAAGTGACCAAGGCGAAGCCCTGTCACTGTCGTCCATGAGGAACGGCCGGCTAGCCACAGGCCAGGCTGGACCAGAGCGCACAGACCCCGGCTGGCTCTCAGCGCTCAGACCACCTGCCAAGATCTGCCCCGAGAGATGGGTTATGATAAGAGGACTCTACGACCCTCTCTTTATCCCATCCTCTTCGGCAGACCTCGTATTCAGCTAGTCGATAGCTCCTTTCATCGCTTCTACTAGACCACATCATCAAACGCGGTAGCGTTTTTCCTTTTTTCGCTTCCACCCACCCCCCCTTTTTTGGGTGTTTTTTTTTTTTTTCCCGGGGGGCCCCTTGGGGGGGGGGGGGGGGGGGGGGTTTCCCGTGGGGGGTTTTTCGGCTTTGGCTTTGTGTTTGAGAACTCCCCCCCTGTCTACTTAGAACCGCAATACAAACCATTTACCACTACCTGTCCGGCCAGAAGGGAGGCCCCATCGGCCATACAAGCCCCGCCTCCCTATCTCTTTCCCATTCACGCATAAAACTTAGAATCGCGGCGGACGCAAGACTAAGTTTTTATGCGAGTGTCGACAAGGCTAGTAGAAATGGATTTGTTAGAAAAAGATCAATGGCTGGGGGAAATGTGAACTTTCCTGGGATATATATAGAAGAGACAAGTTCATAAAACGAAACAACAAAGCATGTTTTTTTTAAGTTGATCAAGATGACATCCAAAGAAAATAGACAACTGAAGCAAAGATATCAAAAAAAGATCAATCAACTTTGGCATTGTTTTTGTCTTTTTTTGTGAGAGGGCTAATGAGGGAAAATTTTGATAGTTGAAGGATCATCACATTCGATTATCATTCATCCCTTCACTTTTTTTTCTTGGTAGTATTAAGTTTAGGAACTTTCCGATTTCGGTTTTTATTTTTAACGCTGAAAGTGAGGAGAAATGATAAACAATCAGTCATCCAGAAGAAAAAAAGAAAGGTGATTGATTCTAAGAGGAAAAAGGAGCAAAAAGAAGCTTGGACTCAACTTAGCATTGGTGAAGAAATTCTCAGATTTCTTCTTGTTAGTAGTCATCCGAGGTTCCTTAGTTTTTTTATTATTTCTACGATCGACCGACCCATCAAGATCCACCTCTTCTTCTTGATTTCCTACATGCATCAAGGTCGCAACAGAGTCATCCAAGATTAAACCGACGAAAACGTACAAGAAGAAAAAAAAGAAGTCAGGAAGACGAAAGTGGAAGCGTATTATTCCAAAAAAAGGAAGGCGATGCAAACCTTTTCTTTTCCCGGAAGCTTTGGATGCTTTTGCAACTTGTCCAGTTTGACGGATGGGCTCGGTTTCATCCAAGACGATATCCAAATCTTCGTCATCATCATCATCATCAAGATCGCTAGCTAGAGTTTGACCGGCATTGGAAGTAGTAGTAGATTTGACAGATGGGGCTTTGATCAAGTCTTCGTAGCACAACTCTTCTTCGTCTTCATCCTCGCTACCGATCCCAGACCATTCGCCTGAATCGGATAAGTCGAGATCGTCCTCGTCTTTTTCTTCTTCTTCAGAGTCTATCTCTTCGGTGACGGCCGCCTCTCCCTTCGAGCCGGATTTTGCCAATCGCTCTGCGCCTTCCCCTCCCTCCTCATCTGCAAATTCAAATTCTCCAATCTCGTCATCTTCCAAAAACTTGTTGGTCCGGACGATCTGATGTAAAGGTTGAGTGACGCCCTTGATCACGCCCACCTTATCCTCACCATCCTCTCGACCGCTCTTCTTCGTTTGCTTTGCTTCTTCCGAACCTTGTTCAGTAATCAGTTGAGATTGATCCTTCTCCTCAGTAGAGTTTTGAGTTTTGAAGCCAGGAGTCTGGGTAGGAGGGGGGACGAAGTAAGGGATTTTACCCCGGATCCAGTCGTTTAGGACGCAGGTTGCAACCGTCCGGAGGTCAGGCTCTCCACCTTTCAGTAATTTCCCTGACTTTCGGGCGATCTGGGTCAAGAAGTCTTCCGAATCTTGCCACTCTTGAATCCCGTAGGTGCGGACCATATATTCGGGACGGATCCGATCTAGAAGCGGAGGGATATGATCGGCTGGGCATGAAAGATGCTCGACTCTGACGACCCCCTTGAGTACCTTCGCAGCCTCACTATCTTTGGCTGAGGGGGGGACGATCCCAGGACAATCGATAAGATAGATCCGACGCATCAAAGTGATGTATTGCCAGACTTTGGTCTCTCCTGGAATCGGAGCAACGTTACAGACTTTCTTCTTCTTCAGAGTATTGATGATCGATGATTTCCCAACGTTTGGATAACCAATAAAGCCTACTGAGATTTGTTTTCGATCGGAAAATAAAGAAGAGAATTGTCGGAGAAGTTGGATTAATGATCCTTTCCCGAAGGAGTTGTTGATCGACGCATGAAATGCAATGGTTGGGTGGAACTTTGACAGATATTTCACCCATCGTGACTGGTTGAGAGGGTAGTTCTAGTCAGAGGCAGTTTTTGGGTGTATAAGTTGGATTCACCGAGAGAAAGAATGAAATACTTACGGCTACCCATCCAGGCACCAGATCGACTTTGTTCAAGATCCAAACCATCTTCTTGCCCCGTTTCTCCTTCTGTAGGTAATTCTCTACGCTCAAGCATCGAGTTCCAAGTGGGTCACGAGCATCAAGAACATGTAGGATGACGTCTGATGAGTCGATAACCTTATAGAGCTCAGACCAAATTCGCTTAGAAGTTCCAGCACTGAGGATGTAATCGACAGCGACATTATGTTGTTCGTCATCTTCTTGAGAGTCGGCTTCCTCTAATTGCTCCTCTCCACCTTTGATGAATTTTCCCAGACCGTCAACCGGTGGTAGCTTCTCGCCAGCCAGTGATTTTGATTTCTTGTTTGCATTCAGATCTTCTGCTTCTTTGACCAATTCTTCAAACGTTCCGGCCGTACTGAGTCTAGGTCGTTTACGACGTTGCTTTGGACCGAAGGTTTGTTCGAAGGGTTCAGCGGTCACCAGGTCGACTTTCATTCCCTTACCGCCTTGGGCAGCTTTCTCAGCATCAGATTGGAGCAAACTCATCGGCAGTTTGTTCTGCTTGAGGATGACTGAGTATGGGTCGGCTTGCTTCTGAGCGAGTGATGTACGGAAATGGTCGAGTGCTTTTTGCGAGATTACTCGGGTGTTTCCAAACCATCTTCGGTCAGGTTGGATCCGACCATTCGGTGCATCTGAGGACTGGAAGGCGGCCGCCTTGATGATCTTTCCATCCCGGTCTCGGATCGCTTTCCCACCATCCTTCGACAATAGTTTGACCGTCTTGGCCTTCTTTGCATCTCGGTAAAAGTTTTCACCTGTTTAAAATTTGTGTGAGCTAGGTTTCCATATTTGGGGAGAATTATAATCAGTCAGTCCACTGACCTTTGACATGTTGTTTGACTGGTCCGGCTGATGTTGAGGATCGGCTCTTGCCACTCGATTTCGGTTTGGCAGTCATCTTGTCAGAGTGTGATGGTTGTTGTGATGGGGAACGAGGAAGTGAGGAAAGTGGTCAAGAGAGTCAAGTTGGCTGGATGGTTGACTCAGTCCGCCCCGCAACCAAACCTTGTCCGCCCGATGGCTTACTTGTGGGCACTCGAAACCCGCGGGGTGAGATTCAACTGCAATTCTAGTCCAACTCCCCTCAACTTTTCCTTTGCAACTCTGCGATAATTCACCAACCTTACATAGTTTAAGAAAAACATTCTTTATGTGTTTTGTTCAATTAATCAAGCTTCAGAATGCTTGAACCTAGGATGCTGCCCAAGGGGGCTTTGAATTTATCCAAACTGATACCTTTTTTTCCAGCAGGAATGGATGTATCAATGCATTTTTTTTAAAAAAAAATCAATGAGGTGCACAGAACCACATTTTCAGATTGGATGAAAGTTTTAACAAACTCATTTAACCACCTTTTTCAATGTCAAATTGTACCAGAAAAGTAAATCAGCTGAGTTAATGGGCTATCCCATAAAACCCAGCTGATTTTCCAATCCAATTATCTGATTCAGCTGAAAATGCTAAACATCTGATCACCAGCTAGCTCAAAATCCTTGTTGTGATTAAAATGGGCTGGCTGGCATGAAAGTTCAACAACATCTTGCTGATAAAATTTAAAATTTTCCTCAGAGATCACAGTGCTGATGGAGCAATTCCCTCTGGATTTAACTTAGATCACACTCTGTGAAAAAAAAAATCACAATTTCTTTAACAAGATAATCATTCCTCTCATCTGACCTAGTGATTTCATTTTATGAAGTGCCTTGGAGTTAGAGTGGAAATTATTGAATTCTATGACTGGAAAAAAACTAGACAAGCAACTGAACAAAAATGAAAATAGTAAGAATCAAATCTCAATTCCAAAAGAAATCATAAAATGATTGCATTGGTGTCTCCTCTAAGTTTGAAGAAATTGAAAGCAAAGAAGTTAATTTTTTTTCATTTTCATGACTGTTTTATTCTTCATGCCGTACTTGATCAAGATTACTACGCTTAAAAGATGGAGAAAGTAGAGTTGGCAAATTGAGAATTGCCAGTTACAGATCAAAATGGAATTCATATTCCAACCATAAGATAAATTTCAGGTCAGAATCATGCTGAGAAAGAAACCCAGCACAAAATATCTGATATGTATGTGTGTCCTTGAATCTAGAAGATAATATAAAAAAACGTAACAATATGGTCTCCCCTGATCCCGGTATATTTTTAGCTCTGCATTTCTTCCCATTGAATTCACAAAAGTGTCGAATCAGAACATATTGAAAAAAAGTGTCAAAAAACTTCTCCCAGCGGCTACTGTAAATTTTTGGCCCCAAGAGATGAATCTTTGTCGTCTTCGCTATTGAGAGTTGATTCATCCATCCTCGTTTGCGTTGCTTGGCTGTTTCTGCGATTTTCATGATGCTTATCGTATCGACGAGCAAGCTAATAGAATGATCAAGCTATAAGTTTGCTGGTTGACTTCGCAGTTGCAGAAATAGCTTTTTCGCTTGGAGAGTTACGGCAGAAAAAAAGCTGACGGCGACAATGACATACGAAAAAATGCCCGAAAATAATCCAGAAGAGCTTCCCAGAGTGACAGAGATGACCTTAAGGAGGGGGAGCCACTTCTTTGTGGTTTTAGTGCACAAGTAAGTTGCCCCGATTTCTTTTCCATGGAGATCATTAGCCGCTAAATCCATAATTCGAACGTCATACGAAAGTGAGCGATTGAACATGTCCATTAAAACTTCAGGAATCTTGAACTGCTTGGAATCTTTGAATCCAAACGGTCCCAGCGCCCCAATACCGTTGACTGTAATCCGGAAATTACTACATTCATGACCTTGACACAAGGCATGATAGGTGGTATTGAATGCACTAAAGAAATCACTTGGTTCCGTCGAATTGTCAACAAAGATATTTCCTTGAGGTGGAGGCAGTGTCCGCCAAGGGAACTCTACATCATATCCGCTCAGCTGAGATGCTGGTATCAATCTTACTCCTCCAAGCCACGTCCCTAATTCCGTAATATCATGCGGGCCGATGGTGGGTTTAAAACTCCTATAATAATCTTCCTGCACTTCGGTATAATTTGGGGGGAATGCTGATAGCGGCAATGTATGAAGCGGTATCGACAATCTTGGATCATAACCATCAAATGAACGACTGTTCCAGGTAGCTTTTTAGCCCATCAGGTTTCTTATCATATGGAAAAGAATCAATCTGCTGAACTTGGTGGGATGATTGACTCACTAAACATGTGCCGAGCTCGCCCAAAAGCGACCGGACGATCCTCGGAGTAGACTATTATATTATTTGAAAAATGCAGGTCTGAATGTCTCAGAAATGCTTCACGAAATAAACTCAGAGTTGACTCTTACTCATCGGCAGCCGCGTTTAATGAATTGCAAAGCTTCGCCTTCAACGTATTACCAATTAAGCAAGTGCCACAAACGCTGCCAAGGCAAATGGGCGAGTTCCCGTGAGGATCAAAGTTTGTGACCGAGTTTATTAGTGTAGACTAGATGGTCTGAAAGTATAAGTTGATCAAATGCTTACATGTACTGGTAGTTTGTATCTTGGAACTGATACGTCGACTTCACAAAATTGACCTGTGTAAGTGAAATTAAAAACCAAAGAAACAAATTGAAGCGGGTGTCTTGTTGAAGGTGAAGCTGCAACACCTCAACCCACTGAGCAGTTTGTCCTTTCTCCCCTATAGAGGAACCCTGACGATACCTTCCTTGATCCTGTTCCTGATTCGTCTCCGATATCAACCAGAGTCCATTTGAATGACATGTTTGAGTGGGCAGCGATTTGCAAATCCTCCACCGAAGCTGTTAGAGTTTCATTTTCGTCGCGGGGAATAACCATGAAAAAGTTGTCATCAACTTTCAGCAGAGTTGGTTGGCAGGTAACGTGATCCCCTTTCCCATTCGTTGAATTATCCAAAAAACGCGTGGATAGAAATGATCTAGCCAAGCAGAATACAGCACCATATCCATCCATAAGTTTGACAGTTCCAATTCAGAATCTTGTAGAGCCCAATGAACTCGGATACTCACTCGATTTTCTCTGCTTTTCCTCTTGTTGATGTAAGCATAAACCTGCGCTTGAGTTGGGGCTTTTCAGGCATGAAAATACAATGAACGTGCAGAGCAGGCTTACTGTGTAAACACATTGAAAATGCACAATCCAGTGAGAATCAAGGTCTATCAAACATGGACACGCCATTGTTTGCCAAATCAGTTCATCCAATAAAGAACAGCCGTGCAGCGATTAATGTTTCCGAAGGAGCTCACAGATACTACAAGAACTGTGGTGAAAGGATTGTCTAAATGAGCCAATTTCAGGGTATGCGCGTCTGATTAAACATGAAGAATAAAAGAAAAAAAAACAGACCGAGTGGGCCTATCTCGCGCTTGCTGTACTTTTTCGTCAAGGGATATTCATCAAGGAATGACAGTAAATCTGGGAGTTGCCTTGTCCTCATTGTTAGATCTTTGGTTTGAGTTGAAGCCAAAATTTGATGTTTGTATAAGTTTACGAGTGGAAGGGTTGAGATTTTAGAATTTATAAAAGTAATGAACCTTTATGTTGTGACAGTTCCAAAATGGCAACCTTTTCATATAAGAGCAAAATCTTTCAAAAATGTGTACGGTCAACTGAAAGAATGGGGAACATTGACATTAGGCTAAAACGTTTTCACATTATAAGATTACACTTAGGCTGTCTCCAACCTTCTATACCAAACTGAGAGTCCTTTGGCCTGGGGGATCTGGGGGATCTGAAGCGTGCAGAGCGCCAGAGTTCAGAAGAGGTACTTTTGGAGGAGAGAAATTATGCTTCGTAAGCTCCCATTTGATTTGTAGAATTCAATACCCATCATGATTACCAGCTGGACCCTTAAGGCAACAAAAGGCTCACCTATAGACTTTGATGACGTGTTTCACTTCCAAGAGCTCAAAAGGCGTTCGAACGTGGTTTGCAAAGGTACCAAGATTTTGGCTGCGAATGCGATGGCAGATATACAGTAGAAAAACACACCGCCGACGTGGTATTTACAATCAAGTCCCGAAAGTCTGCATGCAGACCCTTGGTGATCTTTGCGCCACACCTCTTGCGGATTCAGACCTGGTGCATACAAGAGAGATATAGAGAGATATCAACAATTCACAAAAGTAACGCGACGTTTGAACACGAATTCCGGGTAAAGCCCTTTCTGCCTGCGAAACTCCAAACCTCTATATGTAAATTAAGTTAAAATGGCTCAATCACATTGCGGATATTCAAGCTCCTTTGATACACATGCCAGCCAAAGATCTGGAGGAGCTCGGCCGGCTTGTCGAACCTCGGGTCCTCGAGGGATGACTGCGCTGGGAGCCGGCGCCCGACGCCATCCTTGGCAATAAATTTTTATCTGTCTTACGACACAATGACCCCGACCGAGTATCAGAGGCATTTTTCTTGCCTGAACATCAGCTAGCGCATAAACGTACACAGCGAATCTACGAACCCACGCGTATAATGGCGGTTCAATTCTTGGGTCAATAATATGACCATCTGAATTAAAAGTGCAGTCTTGTGACAGAAAGGGTTAACCCTTGTCTGATGAAGCTGCACAGATGGATTCATTAGTTGCTGGTAAGGGGCAGTCCCTATAGTATTAAATACTAACCGTTTGCACTTCAGGTATTAAAATGAATCTTTCCTGGACACTCGTAGTTTGGCTTGGATGGTGCCAGCACTCTTATGTTCTCAAAATGATTGAGCCTTTGGATCACAGGTTACAGAGAGGAGAATAGCAAAAGAAACATTCAATCCAGCCATGATTCACTACGCTAGGTTATTGAAGTAAAAACCACGAGCTTAGTGGTTTCTTTTTTGACACATTTTTGGTACCGTCAAGTTACAAAAATTGGGTAGCAACACCGCTCATTTTTTTTTTGACGCTGAAGACACCCGTCCGGGAGGGAGAACACTGGTCTCGGATCAGCTGTTGGCTGCGGAATAGAATGGACGTTGTTCATCAACTTTGAGTTTTGACTATTATGTCATCAGGAGAGTTAATCCCCAAATCTCCTACCTGGAATTTGTTGATTGGGAGGGTTTCCTCCTGCCAAGCCCAGCCAACATCAACTTCATTGTCCAGGATGATTCCTCCTGGCCAACAAAGCCATTCAAATTGTTTTGATTAAGAATAATATCTCCCATTCAAAAAAAATCGTATAATTTTGCTAGCTGGGAAGAATTTCTCTGAGTACCAAAAGTTACATTAATTAATTATTGACCAGGAAGAAATCTATTGGCCAGAAAACATGTATGAATTATTTGACTTAGAGTGATCACTCCTGGTGAAAATATTTATACAATATTAAAAGTGTGAATTTCTTTGGCCCTGATTTATACCCCTCATGTGAGCATGGTCATGCCACTTTGTTCAGCATGGGGTTGCACCTTCAAAATCAAGTATCTTTGTGCTTCACCATTGGTCTTTCCTCTTTGAATTGATTTTAGAAATATTGACTGGTATTATTCTTGACAAAATGCCATTATTTCTGCTTCATGAAATCTATCAATCTTTGGTTTACTCCTCTCATCGAATTCTGAGGTGCTTCACCCCTCATAAGGATTTTTTTTTTCTCCTTGTGTTCTCTACATAACTCATTTGGTCAGATTACTCTGATGGCATTGGAAACTATGCTATAACCAAGAGAAGATAAGCTTCTATAGTCCGGAGAAGACAAGTCCCAACTCCCACTTGGTTAGGGTTCTGTGATTTTAAGACTAGTAAGCAGGCTACATATAAACTGCAGACTATAATCAGAGGATATCAGAGATGATCGAATAGTTCTACTTGAGAAAACTGGCTTGGAGAAGAATACAAGCACTCTACCTAGAAATGTATAATGACCAAGAGATCACTTAACAGTAGTTTCTTGCCAACCCACATTTCTTCTCATAATGGGTGACATAGATGAAAGAAACAATTCTGGCACTTTCCTCTCTTCAGGACTGTCAAACTGGTTGGTACAGTACGAGCTTCTTGCTGCTTCTTGATGGCGATACTCACCTCGCACTCTGATCAAACCCTACTCGCTGATTGTGGAGGGCCCGGTCCGTCATCCTAACTGCTCGCTCAATTTGCGCGCCACCCATTTTGACAATCAGAATCGGAACGGTCAAGGCCAAACGGGTTGCACCCTGTCGGGCTTTGGTGGAAAGCTAGTTCAACATCAAACCAACCCTTTCACACATCATGTGACCTCCTTACCTTACTCAATCCTCAGCCTGGCTTCATGTGATGGGGACCACGTGGCAAACGAGAAAAATCACACCTCCTGAACGTGTCACATGAGTTCGTACTTTGCCGCAGCTGATGATCAGGTTCACGGCAGTATTATGTAAAGAACATGAACAATTTCACTGAGCCGCTGGTCCAATGTTGAATCTTCGCGACGGTTATAAGCTTCTCTTCGGTCATGTTAACATTTTACATGCCCGGCCATGGGGTGCACTTGGCAAAGAAGTGAAATTGAGCTGTTTTGTTTCGAAATCCAACTCACAATTAATGAACCGTCGACGTCCCATCGGTCAAACTCTTTCATTGATTTCGCCAACTTGTGACCGAACACATTCATTCTTGCCATCGATGCCATCTGACTTATGATGCTGTATTGAATAAATAGAATAAAATGTAAATATCAAACATACGGCTCCATCCGTGGGATCAGCTGAGTGCAAAAAGTCACCTAGATGCTCTCAACCTACATTGACATACAGTCAACGTCATAATTCACTCAGTCACTCACACCAAGGAAATTTCCAGCATCGTCGTTGTTTCGTGTGCGGTGATTGACTTGGGGAAGTATAATGGGCCTCCCGCAACACAGTTTTGGAGACTGTAAAGTGCTTGGGTGATAGTCAGATGATTGGTGAATGTGAGCTGTTGCCTTGTTGGTGTAGGTTGCGAGTGATCCAAAGACACTGCTCCTTGCCAAGGAAGACACCATACCATCACATGCACATAGCTTACACCTCGGTCCAAAAAGGACAAATAAAAAGGGTACTCTCCTGCCTGGAAATTTTGGCATATCCGACCACAAAATCTGTCTGTTTGCTGCAGTTTGCAAAATGATGGAATTGCCTTTGCTACGTTTCTTAATTATCCCAAACATCAGAAGTAGTCTTGGTTTTGTGATACTTTTAACTTCCCACGTGATACTAAAAATTTATGGGATGCATGTCCAATCAAGCACCCAGGTTCTATCAAAGCTTTCGGATCAACAAGCCAATGGTCAAAGATTAGAACACCGGTTGATTTTCAAACCATTTATCGATGGAAAGAGTGGAGTGGAGAAGATCAGATTAAGGCTTTCCCGACAACCACCAACCAATCACTCACCGTCAAGGGGATTGTTGAGCCCCCAAAAGCCGAAAAGTAGGCTTTCCAGAGAGGACACTTATAACGAGGCACCAGCTATAAATACAAAGGAAGAATCATTGAATTCCAAAACTAGTGCGGGTCTCCATGGCAAGAGGCTATCAGAATTGAGCAAAAATGAACTCCGATCGATTTGCTTTCCTAGTAGATGGGGTCAATCATCTTCCTTCCCTGGAAAATATGGAGAAGACCATAGAAGAGAATTGCATAAGTTAAGGAATACTCTTGAAAGTATTAACAGTGCGAAAAATGCTTGGAATGAAAACAAGATTTGGAAGACTCTCTTGGAAAATAAAGAGGACTTCTCACTTTATCGCCGTCCCAGTCGGGGAGAATACATCCAACCACTCTCGCAGAGGGTTGCAACAAATCAGGAAACACTTATGCGACAATTGAGAAGGGTTCAAGAAGCTGGATTCAAAATCACCCTGCAAGAGCATGAATTGACTGAAAAAATCGCTAGCTTCTCCTTTGAACCCAAACAGGCAATCGAGCTTTCTCCCGACGAAAAAAAGTTGCTCGAGGAGATTACTCGTCGCACAGTCGCAATTAGAAGACAAGAGCAGGCTCTGGATCTTCTAAGGAGTTTCAAGAAATTCCAGCAAGAATTTAAATTGGGTAGAAATAATCATGAAGATCTAGACCTCATTGTTAGAGCACTTCAGGACTTGGGTGCTGAGGAAAGAGAGGGTCAATTCTGGACTGAATATGATGTGGCATTAATCAGGGCCTTGGAAAGTGAAAGTAAAAATCTTAGAAAGGGTGAAAGTAACCTCAACAACATAGCAAAAAATCTGAGAAACCAGAAGGCTTATGTGGTATTAAAAAGCAAGGATTATATCCGGCCACCGAATATGAAGGAAATCAGATTTAGAGAGAAAGTGAAGAAAAATACTGCATACTACCAAAGGATTCATCCACATAAAGTCATTGAGTTGCTGACCAAACAAGAATCTCAAGAGGTTAAAAGACTAGCCAAGCAGTATTACTGGATGAGAGAGCAGCTTTGGACGCCCTCAAGCTCTGAGTTAATTGAAAGAGCAAGACAAGAACTAGAAACTGATCAAGGCTTATCAGTTGTGGAGATGCCAATCCAAACATTGAGAAAGGTTCAAGAGAAGAAAGGAATAGAAAACAGTGTAGAGCCCACTGGGATAAATACAGTAGAATCAGCCAAAAATAAAGAAGTTCTCAGTAAGATGCCTTTGTCAACTAGGGTTAAAATTCTTGGATTGGCGCTACGTAAAACACCAGTTACTGCTTCAGGTGAAAGTGCCTTTGAAGACCTGGCACGTCAAGAAAACTTGATGAGGGCTTGTCAAGAAAGAGTCAAAGATCAAGAATTAGCACTAAGGCTGATCCAGAACATCAAATTAGAGGAGTTGAATGAGCCGGAATGGCAGAAACTTCAATACCTCTTTCCTCATGAACTGGAAGGAATAGCTCATCTCATTAAGATTCCTTCTCAGGATAATTATTCCAAGGTTGTTTTTGATCAAATGTTGAGCCTCATTCAGACAGCTTCGGATCGGATCAAACTCAGTCAACACATGCCATTCAACAATCATCCTGGTCATTTTCTTTTGATGGAAGCAGAATCCGAGTGGAGCCACTTAAAGTCTTACTTCACTAGACATCATGCAATCTACAAGTTCCACAATCCCCAGCTGGTGACAAATAGACAATCTTACGATCAGTGACATGAGCTCTTCAGAAGCAGAATCCAAATGGAGCCACTTGAAGTCTTACTTCACAAGACCTCATGCAATCTATAACTTCCACAACCCTCAGCTGGTCCCAAATAGATGATTTACTGCCTTACAATCAGTGACATGAGCTCTTCAAATCTTAGGTCCATGTCCAGCTTACAACTTTCTTAAAAGTTCCACTAAGAAAATCAAAACAAATCTTCTTTTCTTGATTGTTTTGAATTTATCAGAATAAAAAAAAATGTTGTTGACCACAAACCACATCACTCTTTCTCCCCCCCCCCCCCCCCCCCCATTCTTTCTGATGTTTTTTTTCTTCTTTGTATTGTGTATTTCGTGTGCTTCTTGGGCTCATGTTTCCTACTAAGTATCAAATCAACAAAACCTGTATGTATACTGTTTTTTGTTCTCTTCAAAACAAAAAAATAAAAAGTTTTTTCCCACTTGTAAATTCCACCCAAACCGATAGTTTCTCCAAACAAAAAACCCCACATAATTAAGTTTTTGTGTTTTGATCATACCCATGCATAATCACATCATCTTTTTTTTTTCCTTGATTTGTCAAATGCTCATGTTTTTTGTTATGATGACTGCAAGATCTCATTTATTTCATCAAATTCCCTATAGATTAACATTCATTATGTATATAAGCATTTAGAGTGTATATAAGTGAAATTTGAAAACAACAAAAGGAATCCCATTTCGACACTCCCTCAAAAACAAAAAGCAACTGATGTGAACATATATATAATCTCGTTTCTGCATAAAATAAAACGGAAAGAGAGCACAAAGAGCAAAGAGAATGAGAGCAGGAGAAGGATGCAAGATGATCCGAAAGAT